CTAGGCGCCCAGGAATCGGTAGAAAACGGAGTGCTTTTCCATGATTTCGTTGCCCTCTCCGAGTGCGAGGCGGACGCTGTGTTGCCGGTTTTGTAAGGGGGCGGAAGATTGATCATTGTGCGCGACTTTCATCTTGTAACCTGTGTGTAACAACTAGCCGCAAAAACGTACATATAGCCGTAAATATATCCCCTTTTCCAAATTTACGTTTTCATGCGTAAAGGCGTAAACGTACACGTAAATGACAGGCCTGGTGTGAGCCAACCTTTCCTTGCGCTTCTTTAGAAGTTATTGATGGTCTCAACTCTCCTGAATGTCCAAATCGGCAAAGAAATGACAATGTTATGCACTTCCAAGTTCTAGTACCATGAAGGCCGAGCGGGATACGAAGGTGGCTACAGAGTATAAGGCTATGGACAGGTTCGAGAGTACTCTGGGGTGTGACCAGAACATATATCAGATAGTAGCAGTCAAAGGGAAGGGGGGAACTGGCTATATAGCCTACATGGAAAAGATAAAAACAAAAGAACAGGGATGCTAGAGCCCCAAACATGTACTTAATCCCTGGGTCAATGACTCATTCGCCTGGAAGCCAGGAACAGGGACATGAAGAACGTCCACGCGGCCATGACCTCAGAAGGAAGACCCTTTGACCGCAAGTGACCCAAAGTATTGGACGGTTCAAGACAATCTCCTTGGTGCCAAGAAGATGGCGTCAGCGGTTCGGGTGATGTTAATGCTGTCATGGCAACTGCCATTGACCGAAATCCCTCAAATTGGTTCAAATCACACGTTTCACAACCACACTGCAACACAGCGGTTGCGGTGGTTAGATTCGCATGAGGTTCGAAGCGTAGAACACGAATGAAGACGTGCTGAATTCTCTTTTTTTCTTGCTGCAAAAAGAGATTTCTGAGCTTTAGACAGTCGGACAATTTGACCGAACTGCCAGTATTGGGAGGTCCAATGCAGATTCGGGGGTGCCAAGAAGTTGGTGTCAGCGGTTCGGGTGAGTTCAGCATTTTCCTAGCAGCTGCTATTGATCCAAACCCCTCAAATCGGCCACACAGTTTACACTCATCATCATCATCATCATCATCATCATCATCATCATCATCATTATTTACACTCACACTTCAGGGCAACGGTTGCTACGGTTGGGAATTGCACAAGGTTCGAAGGGTAGAACATAAATGGAAATGTGCTGTACTCCCTCTGCTTCTGCTGATCAGCAACGTTTCTCATGAGAAACGCGGTTGCTGACAATCATTATTTCAGACGCGTTGACCAGAACAGTCCCAAAGCATTGGGCGGGTCAAGGCTGCCTCGGAGGTGCCAAAAAGCTGGTGTCAGCGGTTTGCGTGTGGTCAGCGCTGTCATGGCAGCTGCCATTGATCAAACCCGTCAAAAAATTCAAAGACACACCTCTGGAACCCAGACTCCAAGAAAACAGTCGCGGCGGTTAGGTGTACGAGGTTCAAAGCGGAAAACTCTTTTGACATGGTGCCATGTTCACTTTGTTCCTGGCTGCATAAACGGATTTCTGACGTTGTTTATGTCAGATTTTTTGACCGGAACAGTCCCAAAGTATGGGCGGCCCAAAACAGCCTCGGCGGTGCCAAGAAGTTGGCGTCAGCGGTTTGGGTGAGGTCAGCACTGTCATGGAAGCTGCCACTAACCCAAACCCGTCAGAAAGATTGAAAGACACACGTTTTGCACTTACACACTCCAAGAAGACGGTTGCCGTGGTTAGGGTGTACGAAGTTCAATGCGTAGAAATCTTTTGACAAGTTTCTATATTCACTTTCTCCCCTGGCTGAATAATCCAGTTTCTGACATTGACTCTATGAGACACGTTCACCAGAACTTTCCCAAAGTGTATTGGGCAATCCAAGACAGCCTCGGGGGTGCCCAGAAATTGGTGTGAGAGTGTTGTGTGAGGTCAGCGCTGTCATGGCAGCTGCCATTGCCCGAGTCTGTCAAATCGGTCAACAGTACAAAACTATACAACACTTTGCAACTTGCGCTCTATGTCTAAAACTTCTTCCAACTCAACAACCTCAACAATTTTCTAGCAATATGAAAGTCGCACATATGCTCTCGGGCTCAGATTAGAGCTGTGTTCAATGGACACTGCCATGGGAATTCTGCTTCCCCCGCAATGCTTGCCACACATTCTTGGAGTCGCCAAAAAAGCGTCCTGGCCCGTGCAGTACTTTGAGACAATTTGGTCAGTGGTGCGACCCAATGTGAAAGAGGAGTTTTTTCTTGAGCCAAAACAAACGGAATCCAAAATTTGCAATTTGCATTTTATGGCTCCAACGTTCTCCAACCGAACAACAGCAACCGCTTTTGCGAGTTTGGGAATCAAACGTGTTTGCTTTCACTAAATTGACATCTGTCGTGGAATGCAGTTTCCATGGACGTACTGACCTCGCCCGCAACGCTGATACCAAGTTCTTGGGAGCACCTTGGAGCCCAAGGTGTAGGCCAACCTTGGTCCCCGCAGGGGGTGGGATTGGGCGCCGCGAGGCGCCAATCTCTCACCCATTCTAAGGCTCTCCACCGCCACGCCAAGCCTTGGGGTCCCCACTGGGGGCCGCTCGCCATGCTGCTGGCGCCTTTCCTCTCGCATGGGCGCAACGGTACGCCACGTGGCCACAACTGTACCCCGCGGTACACCTCCCCAATAGGTGGACCGTACGAAAACTTTTTAACGGACAATACAGCAGAAGAATCGAAATTAAATTAATGGACAGCAGAGACGGTAGCAGGTGGCCAGCGCCGAGCTCTTGGACGTATGTAGTGGTGAAAAAGGCGGTTGTGATCGAACGTATAACACCAAATAAATCACAATATAGCACTTTGAAGTTTGTGTTTTTTTCAACCTCTAATGGCATAGTTAGGCCAACTATGAGGAGACCTCGGAATCCTTGATGAGGTTTGAGACAAGGGAGTGCCCATCACTCTGATCAAGCATAGACAATTAGAGAAATGATTGAAACAACTAACCCTCTATTGGGAAAACGTGGCAGACCGGGGCTTAATTCTTTGGAACATCTTTCTCCCCTTCTTCCTAGAGAGTGCTGACTCTGTCGTGGCCACTGAAAAAGTGGGATGCGAGAGGAATATTCGGATGAATAAAGCCGTGTCTCTAGAAGGAAATACAGACTTCGTGGGCTATGACGGATCATGGACTCTAGGCGAGAGTTGGCTACTGGTGGTTGCCTAGATATTGTGGGCTAGATTGCGCATAACAACCTTGATTGAAGTATCAATCAAGACAGAATGCCCGAGCAAGGTTACAACATAACTTCGAAGTGATAGCACGCAAAAAAGCAAGGTTCAACGTTTGGAACTTGGCCATTTCTACTCGTTTCAGCTCCACTGTGACCATGGCGTCCTACAACAAGGGTAAAAGCGCGTTCAAGTGTGTGTTTGACGAGCGCTGCATGGTGTGCCAAACGCTGCCCATTGCCGCAACGGCAGGAACGACCCTGTTCCCTACACGAAGGCACACGAGCGTTCCATAACTGTGGGGATCTCCAGGCAACATGGAACCTGAATGCACATTTTTGGATCACGCCAGAGCAAATGTGGAAGCACCTCACAGGGTTTACGGCTGACATCTCGTCTTGAAAATGGGCAGTTAAAGGCATGGGGCCCTAATCTTTCCGATTATGTCTTCGTTCTGTGATTCAAACGTGGTCTTAGTAACGAAAGTTCTCTCGAGAATTAATGCGCGACCAAAGAAGCCATTTCCCAGTTAAACCACATTTTACACATATGCACCCTTAATCTCTTAGTGCAAGCACTTATTGGCGACTGAAAAAATCAACCGTCCTATTCGGGGCTGTGGCATGGTTTCATATCTGTCACAGGGCAGTTTGCAAGCACTCGACATAGAATGGATGGCACACTCGGAGATGGTGACCTTGCGTTGCTTGCTTGTCACGAAAAAAGAAGCAAGGATGATCTGGCTTCCCAACGATACACACAATATGTGATCTATACTTTAACCTCTGTATGCCCGAATAACTTCACGTCGTCCGAGCAATAATGCAATCAGGCCACATACAAGAAACAACAATCTCGTTGAGCACAATTGCGAACAAGCAAACAAAGGAGGAATCCAACCATCAACACCATCTCATCGTGCACATATTTAACACAAGGGGGGGATGGAGGAGGATTCAGATGAGGAAAAGAGAAGGCCCTTATCGACTCGCACCCAAGTCCTCACTGTCAGTTTCATCTGCGCAGAGCTGCGCGTTTTATCTTGTTGCCTAATGGCAACAATGGCCTAAGCATCTCTTAAACATGGCACAATCGGTTGTGCATGCAAACAAACAATATGGCACCGATACTTCAGGACTGAGCGTACCAAGAATGGACACCCCGCATGGACAACAAGTTCGCGATGTTGCCATTCCCTTGATTCTCCATCAAACTCCCATTCTGAAAGCCACGTGTGGGATCTGAGCGCCACCACTTGCAGATTTACAGAGAACAACGAGCATCAACCCTGGATGTGCAACGTCCAAGCCACACACGCAATTCAGGTTTCCATTTCCTCTACAGCAGGCAGCCCGTTTGTTCCCATTTTTACCCACCAAGTCCTCAAAGAATTATTTGTTCTGCTGTTTTGGAGCAAGGGCAGAAGTGCAAGAAAGCAAGAGCATAACGATCACGGAAGACAGTAAAACCTGCCACCAAACCTTGCCACCAGAATGCAGGCACTGTCTGCTTTTCCTTTACACTGGTCCCTAGACTCAAAGAAAACTGTGAGTCAGAAAGAAAACTGTTGGCTGTGAGGCACAGTGAATACAAAATATGTGTCAGCACCACAACATTTGATGGCATCTAGCAACATGGTACAAGGCTTTCACAGCCAGTGGTGAAGCCTGTCCAAAGAGTAGTCCCTTCCTGTCCGTTTCAGCGTTTTTTTGGTTCTGAAACCATATGCATTGGTCTCAAACAATGTTTCCAAAATCCTAGCATCAGGGACAGAGACATTGGTCGCCAGTGGCTTCGTCCTCCCAGATTGTTGCGCCTGAGTCTTCCTTCAAAACTTGGAGAAGAACACAGCTGTCCAACAACACAGGATGACAATTGATCAGTACCTTCTGGGGAATTCAAAGATCTGAGTCATCTAATCTAACCTTGCTGGGGCCCACATGCCAAGTGCATCATGTCTGCTGCCAAAGAACAACACTGGAGTTGTGCTTCACATCGCCTGACTGATCAACAGGCACAGCATCTTCAAGGTTTTGACAAATGCAGTTGTCAGATTCACAACATCCACCACATGAAATAGCATCATCAGGTTTGTTACCATCTCGAGGTTGCTGCTGTTCAACAGCAGGCCTATTTTCTTTTCCTCCACATTGGAATGTGCAGAAAAGCAGCTAACCTGTGTCCAGGCTGTCGGCCATGGATGACAGTCAGTTCCAATTCCCATTATACTTGGTGCAGGGCAAGTTGTTGCTGTGTACAGGTAGGCTTTGGTTGTTTGGAACCGAAACACGAAAGCATAGATGACCATAGTGCATACCTGACACCACATCGGCATCGGGATTTCGCCTTGCCAGAGTCGCTGCAGCATTCCTTTTCCTTGTCACCAACACACCTCTGGATTTCTCCACCAGCGGCCACAGCCTCACCCGTGGCTTTGTCCACAACATCTTTGAATGTCACTTCACCTGAAACTCGGGACTCAGACTCAGCCAGCTCTTCTTTCCACTCCTTCAAGTCGGTGGTGTCTGCCCAATAGAGGTGAGCAAATGTCAGTGGGCTTGCACAGGTGCAAACTGCTCTGGCACATTTTCATTCAGCGTCAAATGGAGCTGTGCAAGAAATGGGTCACCGATCCGAAGTGCAGTGACATGGCCACTGGTGTCCAAGCCATAAGACTACCCACCTTGTCCAATTGTGTCGCAGAGGGTAATGATCACTTCGGCCCACAAGAACGCGGTGGCCTCCCTTATGGTCTCTGCAAAGGACTCGTCGCTGCCGGATTTGAAGCCTCCAGTTGTACACACGTCCTGGGTCGCCTTCGCCCATGCGCTGGACCACACGGCTGCCACAGCACGGCCAACGGCTTGGCCATCGGTGCTGCTAAATTGCTTGGAGGCGTCCTCCACGGCCTCGGGAATTTTTTCCTCGAGGAGCTCCAGATAGACACGAATGGTTATGTCAACCAAAGCGGTCGCGACTGCGTCTCCGTTCGCAAAGCCCCCGGCGCAAGCGTTCCCACTCCCTTCTAGGTCGACCTGGTCCCAAGGCACCGTTGGTCAGTCCGCAGTAGCAAGGAACGCAACACGCACAGCCAGGCACGGGGATTTGGGATGCAGGGCACGCACACGGGTCCATGTGCCATGGATACGTGCCCACCAACGCTTTGGTTGCCTGGGGGTTGCTGTGGGGAAGGCAATTGATTGCTGTGCAAGGAAATCCTGATCCCACCGTTCCCCTCTGGCCCGCACGACCCACCGGTCTCAATGCGCTCACCTCCACCTTGACGGCGCTGACAACCTTGGCAACGGCATCCACGGTGGCCATGGCGACTTCGCTTGCGGAATTGACCTTGCACCCTTCCTCGGGAGTCTCCACGACGGTGTCCAGGTACTTGAACACAATCTCCAATATGGCATTGCTAGCGTCTGCTTCGGCCTGTGGACGAGATGTGGGAGTGAGACAAAGAAGAGGAGACAGCAGCGGGCAGTTTGATGTCTGCACAACCCAGTCAGTGGCGTATCGACCAGAGAGGATTGAGCACCTCGCAGAAGGAATTGGACTTTGCCGACGCCGACCCCGACCCGATGAGCGAAAAGCTGGCGGAGGAACTCGTCTGGCAAAAGGTCGCTGTTGAGTCCTTGTGGAGGGAGGGCACTGCGACGTTGAGTTACAGACAGTGTCAGAATGTGCACGCGAGGAGAAACTCAGCCACAAGATGGGCACTGGCCGCAACTCCGCCCGCTGCGGCTTGCGTCCAGCAGCTCCCCGTCACCTGATGCCCACCTGGGCAAGCGCACTCTCCAATGCAGTCCCACTCAACGCCGGCGTCGCCAGCCGCGCAAGTCGTATTATAAGTCACCCCATCGGCTCCGCAAACTGGCTCGTAGGCAGTCGCATTGCAGGCTTGCAGCACATCTGCACAGTCAGCAAGCCAAGCCCAGTGAGCGGGACGCCGCAATGCGCCACAGCACGCTTGGTGGAAGGCAACCTTATAGGTTGCGGCAGGCGCAATCCACAAAAGACCGCCCTGAAACAGGGCACTGGCCCAAACATGTTCCTTATCGACGCCATTGCCCAGCCGCGCATCGCGGTGGAGCGGACGCGCACCAAAAGGCATAGCCCCGTGCACAGAAGAGGCCACAGCGTGGGCCGCGCGGCACAACCGAGACACGCGACCTACTGCGGGATGCGAGGGCTGCCTGGACGAAGGCGAGCAGGACTGCCACCACGGCTAGCGCCATGCTTGACACCAGTGGAGCTGTCCACGGGGCGTGAGGGCGGGTTGTGCACTTGCCGGGTGAGGTAACGGCCGACGCTTGGGGCCAACGGGACGCAAGGGCCTTGGCGGCTGGTGGGTGCGCAGAAGCCACTTCCCACTTCACGCAGGTTGCATTTCGCCACGACTTCCGCAACTGGTTCGCAAACATGTTGTCAGGCTGCTCGTATGGCGTCGTGATCCTGTTGCTCAGCTGAGCCAGTTGCCCCCTGCAAGGAATCCGGCTCAAGTTCACCCTCAGCAGCGTTTCAGGAACATCGCCCGGTGGTGGTGTTGCAACCAGTGCGCCCCCTTGCAGGCCGCCATGGTCAGTCATACTACCCCTGTCTCAAAAGTATTGTCGCTTCCCTAATCTTGCCATAACTTTGCTGGATCAACTCAACTAGTCAATCTGCTACCAGGTTCGGATTCTTTGGTCGATTTTGGGTTGATGTGGACTTTGGTTATATTAGTCATCGCCATACAACAGGAAATTCTCAGCCCCATCAAAAGCATTTCTGTCCATCTCCATCAGCGCCTCAATTCTCCGTACTTTTGTGCTCACGTAATCCCCATGCATGCCAGCCTATTTCCCTGATATTATTCAAGAACCTTGTTGTGGGCAATAAGTAGGCACTATTACAACTTTCCCAGAGTTTTCGTCATCACTGCAATCATACTATTTGTGTACCATCTCTTCCGCTGTGCTGAATCATACCTTAAAAATTCTCACTGTCAATGGTTAGCCCTGTTGGCAGCAATCTAGGCCGTTGGGGAGCTAGCGTTGGCATGCACGGTTTTTCTAAACTTGGTGTGTCTGCTAGGTCAAGCTCTTGCACTAATCTAGGTGTCTCTTAGCCTTTGGCCACAACATACCCACAGTTCTTGCTGACAACCAAAAATGCTGCAGCAACCCCGCATCGTTTGCTCTGCGATTCTGCTTTGAGTTTAGGTGAGCCTTCAGCGTATACGAAACCACCAAGTCAATCATCTTTCCTAGAGATAGCTCAGCTCGATCCACCTCCTTTGAAGGACAAGACAAGGTCACCATGCTCGGCCCGAGGTCCCGACAAAACGTGAAATCGCATTTCAGCCCCTTCTCACGTATCTCAAGAACAGCGGCGCCGTTTGCTATGTTTGAGTGCTCTATGGATAGCTCTCAATAAGGCACGTTGAAGTTGTTTTGGTCTAATTTTCTGACTCACACGTTCTGACCTTCGTTTGCTCGAATTAGGGAAGCGACAATATTTTTGATGCGGAAGTAATATGTGTTAATGCACGCACGCGAGAGTACTGCGCAGATTGAGACCTCCGGCTGCGCCAACGGCCGGGCTGAGTGGGTTGGGGCGCATCACGATGGTGCACCCTTGCGTGGAGCAATCGCACTAATGGCGACACAAGGGAAGGAGTCGGCCTTTGAGTCCGCAACGAAGGACTTTCCTTACACGACAGCACCACAAACATACTCTATGACCGACTGCTATTCCTGTCCGGTTTGACTCCCACACAACCCTCAAACCCATTGCCCTTGGCCTGAACTCCTTTCCCCGGAATCACCCCATCAGAGCACGAGCACCCTTCGCATCTCGGCACCAACACATGCCACCAGTTTGCAGTCGGTTCACAGCTAGCCATCAAAACATGTGAGCTTTTGCCCATCACAATATTGTGAGAAAACTGTCTAGGCCAGAATTTGCAGCCTTCGATATTCCTGCCAAAATGGCAGGGGCCAAATTGACAACCAGCCGGGAAATCAGCGGCAGGTTCTCACTTGATGTATATGATGACCTCCGGATGATCAATATTGATGGACTCCAAGATGAACACAACCTACATTGCGATGTAGGCGATTGTCGTTGACAATTGTCAACTTGGCAGTCCGAATTCTGCCCTCCTGCACTGTCGGACATCCCCAGCATAAAAAGCAGCCCATTGCGTCATCGCCTGTTGTTTCGCAGTGGAACACAAAAGCTGGGTTGCTCAACTGCATGCCGCTCCTGAACGCCAAGGTGGGCCAGTGGTCAGAGCACGTTCAAGGAACGGCTCCCTGCAGTCGTTTCGGTCATTTTTGCCACTGGGATCCGGGCAGTTGGTCCACCGCCCCATGGCCGTGATGGATAGCGCCTCGGATACGGCCGGTGAAGACGATGGGCTGGCGGCATCTTGGGATGACTGGGTACAGGGGACAGACGACGAGGACGACGGAACTGCCAGGAGTCTCTTCAGCAACGAGCAGTTTCCTTCAGCCGAGGCTGCCATTGAACACGACGCCCAGGAATTTGGCTTTGACATCGTTGATTACGTTGCAAAGGTGACCAGGGTAGCGCGCATGGCGGCGTGAGACCAGCTTGGAAACGGAATTCAAAACCTAGCATTTCTCTCCGCGTTCGATCTTTGAACCGCGTTTACAGTCGCTGCTAATGGCACAGCCAGGATGCATGCTTGTCGTGGGACCTCCGCAAAGCGGATGGTAGGTGGCGGCGACGAGAGACTGTAGGACGGTTTGGTTCCGCTGTTTCCAAGGTCACCTTATGCTGTGTTGGGCCGCATCCCTTCCGCGCCAGCCCAGATCTGTGCCCGTGCAAAACGGACGTTTTCGGCGGCCGTCTGGCGGTCAGGATCTGTCCGACTTGGCACGCGTCCCCTGCGGGGACCCAAGGGCCCACAGTGCGCCGTGTGGCTGTTTGGAGAAAGCTCACTGCCGCTTGTTCACTCTTGACAGACGGGTCTCGACGAGTTCGGCGCCATTAAACTGGTCAACTACCTCCGGTCCGAAGTGCAAGCGGGAAGGGAGCCACTGACCGCCGTGAAGGAGGCTGCCAATTCCACTGACGAAAGACCATGGAATGATGACTCTTATCTCATCCCAACAGTCCGGGATGATGCCCTGCTTCGCATCGATTATCAAGCAATGATTCAGTCAAGGTGCGCCCAGCAGGAAGAATGCGTTGTTGCTTTCTTCATCTTGGAATGGCAGAAGGGTTTTGCCTGTGGTGTGGCTTCAATCCTCTGGTGTGGCCATCACAGCCATATCGATGGTTGCAACTTTGAAACTGCCGCCCATAAGGACTTAAGGTTTGTATCCACTGGTTGCATGGCTTGTGGTGACCTGCATGGAGGAAAGGTAAGGGGGTTTCTCTTGGAGGACGTATCCTATTTTTGGATATACAAATCTTTGCGGTGACAGCATGTTGCATATTGGGACAACTGCAGATGCAGCACTGACGATGGCAAGGGCGCGACTATGCGGGAGATGAAAGGACGCCTTGAGGCTCTTGATGCCGAAAATATGTGCCTTAGGGAAGCATTTCAGCAGCTGAAGTCAGAGGTAATTTGGCCAGAGGTTTCAGATATTGTGAGGGCGACAGGATCAATGGCCTGTAGTCAGGAAAGCACCTTGGAGGCTGGGAACTCCAAGGCTGAAAGCTTGTCTGCATTGAGTGGCTCCCAGTCAAAGGAAGAAGACGATGAGGACAGTCCAGAGTTTGCAAGAAGAACTCGAGAAGAAGCAAATGGCAGGGTCGATGCTTCCTATTTCGACTCATACAGCTGTTTTGAGATACACAAGGCAATGCTATCAGATCAGGTGAGCACAAGGACAAAGTTGCACACATACCCTGTGAGGGAACAGTCAAGGAGCAACAATGCTCTGTTTGAGACCGGACAGTGTTATGGTGCCATATACTACCTTGACAACTGCACAGTGCAAAATTGCCACTCAATTGAACCATACCTTGCAGTACCACGTCCAATCCTGTGCTTGTACATCTGAGAATGCTGTTCAGCCAGAAGTTCAGCAGACAGCGATGCTGCAACTGCACTGTTTCACACTTAAAATTGACCAGAGTCATAATAGTATGAGAAAATCTGTTCCATGTAATTCATGGAAAGCGCAGCTCTTCAGACATCTGCTGCGCCTTTCATTGTCTATGCACACTGACTGTCAGGGAATTGCTGGTCTCCAAGTTTCAGCTGGTGATTATTTTTGCTGACCAGCCACTGTTAAGTTGAAGTGCTCAGCATGGTGAACATGTGGATCATCACAATCCTCTTGAACATCGTGATGACGTTCCTGCCAGCATTCTGGCCACACATTGGAACCGCTGGTGCCCAAAAAATGTGTAGTTGGCAAGTCTTCAACTCAATTCATGCTGGATGCTATTGAGGTTGATTCTTGCACCACCATCCTGACAGTTGAGCAGGAGGGTGATACCCTGCCCGGGACCCATGCTGGCCCCATGTTTGTGATTCCAGATAGACATGCGGCTATTGATTGTTCAATTTTCTCACAGCCTGATGAAATCAACCCAAAACCACCCTTTTCTGTACCATTAATGGGAGACTTCATCATTCCAGGGGAATGCGATTCACACATTATGCGCACGACATGTACAATTGATCATGTGTGGGAGGCATGGACGTGTCATGTGCGAACAGGGCCAAATTGTCTTAATCGCCTGGATGGCCCTTGACTCCTTTATGCCAGTGTGGAGACTGACGACAAGGCAGCAATCTATGTCTGTTGTGTTGTAGGTGAGGACAAAGGCATATCAAAATGCATTGCAAAAAAATTCATCTTTGGTGAAAGGCAAGGTGGTCTTGGATGTTGGCTGTGGTACAGGAATACTGTCCCTATTTGCATGCAGAGCAGGGGCTGCACAAGTCATTGCAGTGGATGGGAGCACATGGGCAGTGGACATATCACGCAAGGTGAAAAGATAGTATACACATGCAACATGACTGAAATGGAGTCTGACTCCGTGTTGTGGCTTACACCTTTCGCTCCAGATGTGTCTACCGTGCACAATTCAGTAAGAGTGCACATTTCTGGGACTCCATTCCAGTTCAGATGTAGTGTAGTTCTGCCTACTGTTCAATGTCCAGCAGCTGTTGAAAAGGCAACATGTCCATTCTGACGTGCTCTGCGTGCTTGACAAAGGCTGCTACCCCTGCAGGTAGGTTCCCAAGAGGTCCCCAAATCTAACGCAGTGACATTCTGCACACCAGGAATACAATCTGTTTTGCGCAGCTTGTGGGGCCCCTGATCACTGCAAGTTGGCAGCAAATTGTAATGAAGGCAACGATGTGATCTATGTGAATGAGTCACTATGGCCCATGACAGCCCATGGCAGTATGGTAGACAAGGCATTTGACTCATCAAAGTTGTGCTTGTTGCCCATTGACCAGAATGTTTGGAGCCACGTGTGGCACAGAGTGAACAGCAGGCCATGATTTGTTTGTAGTTGCTGCAACTTGCATTTTGTCTGCGGGTGTGTGACCCTGTATTCCTGAAGGCTTCTGATATGTGATGGATCAGGCTGCTGCAAAAAATGGATACATGGGTGATTCACCATCGGCGACAATGAAAGTATTGTCTGGCAAGCTGGAGAATTTGCCTGTAATGGAGGTGAGTCCCTTTGCAGTTTTGCACGTGCTGAGTTCAGGATTTCCTAGAAGCCAGTAGTGAGACAAAGCTGTAATCTGGCCTCAGCATGCCTTAAAAATTACTTGCAACCTGCACACACCTCCTCATCCTGGTTTGGAATGTTCTTTGGAGTGTTTTTGGAGCTGCTTGATGGAAGGTGCTGAACTATCACCCTTGTGCCAAGCATCCTGGCACCTGTATTTGTGATCATCTCCAATTTGATGCTTGCCGTATATGTGGGATAAGGCTGTCAAATGCTTTTTCTTTTGTATTGCTGAGTGCTGTGTGTGTGAGTGTGTGTGTGTGCCTGTGTCTGTAGGTGGATGTGATCATCAGCGAATGGATGGGCTATGGATTGTTGTTCGAGTCCATGCTGGACACTGTGAGTCGTTTGGCCCTTTGTCCAGTTTAACATATCTGATTGGTTGCAAAATACAATGAATGTGTACAGTATTGGTCTTGGCTGCAGTGTACTTTATACCGTGATGTGTTTGGCTTTGATATGTTTTGGGAATGCTTGTTGAACAGGTGCTGTGGGCACGGGATCGCTGGCTGAAGCCTGGAGGGGCCCTGCTGCCAGACCGGGCTTCTTTATTCCTTGCTGGTACAACAAAAGAAGGCACTGGGCTGGATTTCTGGGAGGTATGAGCAGTTGCATGATCCTTTCCAGGAGGCCTGTGTGAGGTTCTCAACAGGCACCAGCTTCCTCACCAGTCTTGTTGCCTCTGCAGGATGTCTACGGCTTTGACATGAGTGCAGTTGCGGATGACATACGCCAGAAGGCTAGGGGCAAGGTGATGCAGGAACAGGCAAAGGCAGACAGCATCATGACAGAAAGTGTGAAAATCATGGTGCGTTCCCAGAAAGTTTCATGCCCAGTGTCTGCACCTAGGTCTTGGTGCATGGATCTACATTGGAAGTCCTTGGTGATTTTCTTTCACCTGTGAAGCATTCCAATATTTATGATGATTAGGTTGTTGTTAACAATGTGGTGTTTGCCATTGCAGACTCTGTTGAAAACTGACTGCTATTTGCACCTCCTGTGCCTTCCACTGAACCTGCCATGATTGCTGGTTTAGTAATGATCCACACCGATGCTGTGACTGCTGCCCAGTGGCAACATTGTGGACAACAATTGCATCTTGCCTGTGCTCATCCCAGGCAGTGCAAAACCTCCTGTCATTTCTGTGGGCAGTCCAGTATGGGCCATGGTCGACCACGGGATGGTCATTGTACCTTTGCATTATGTCTGTATTGTCACCATGCAAAGATGCAGATGTCAAGGAAGCAGAGTCTACACCTTCCCTCACAATGGAAATCAACATTCTGGCTTATCACTGCAGACTCTTGGACCACGCATTGTATGAAAGTGCGCCCCAATCTTTTACTCCAACATCAGAGCCTGCGATGAAGGTTATACTAGCTTCACTGTGCGACCTTCTGTGCGACAGCCACCAGAGTGCACTTGTGTAATTGCAACCATTTGCTGGCAATTTGCACTGTGATCCTGCTTCTATCTTTACCAGGTAGCATAAGTACCTGTCATCCTGGTTGTCCACATCAAACATGTGTTGTAGTCGCTTCAGTGCAAAGACAATCATCTGCACCTGCATTGTGTAAGTTTGGCATGCTGTGGGTGTGCTTAGAATAGGTACTGTGAATGCAGGATTTCGACCTCATGACCATGTCCATAAGCGACGTGGAATTCACTACAGACTTCAGGTTGCCATGCATTCTCACAGAAGCAAGTGAAATGGAGGACCAAGGACTCACTGAATGCCACGCACTGGCTCTATGGTTTGATGTGGACTTTTCGTCTCGTTTCTGCAGTGACTGTCCAGTGAATCTGACAACATCCCCAATGACTGACCCCACTCACTGGGGCCAATCTATCCTGTTGCTTAAGGACCCAATCAAGGCAAAATGGATTTCTGGACGCATCAGCATGGTGCGCAGCGATGTGCATCGTGGCCTTGATATTTCCCTAGAATACTGGCCAGAGTGGGAAGGTAAAAAAGGGCACAAAGAAACTGCAATTTATAGCGTATGAGCATGTACTGCAAGTGCATTCGCAAGCACTGCATTGACTTTGATGGTGCTGAGGGAATTCTTTGTCAAGCAGATTGGCTGTAGAGATGATAGATTGCACAGAAGCGATGAAACAATGAAATGCTGTGCTGGCCATTGATCACCGTGACTTCACTGCTGCACACATTAGTGGGTTAAAACGCTGGCATTTGGAGTTTGCGCAGTGGAGGTGGTGGAAGCTGAGTCTGTCATATTCCATGGATGCTAGGTTGCCTGGCCAAACACCATCACTTGTTAGTCTCGTCTAAAAGTTGCCATGCACAGCACAACAGTTTGCAGAGCAAATTGAGGGCAGCACAGGTGAATCTACATCTGCTGGACGTTTTTTGCGCATAAATTCATGCAAAGGCTTTCAAAGCTGTTCAGCTGAACGCCAAACTCCCAAATTGCCAGGAATTCTTGACTGCACCTACAGCCTGGCACCAGATTGTGGATGCTGAAAATCAAGCGAAAGCGCATGGTGAGCGGGGCGATCCATTCAATTACCATTTTCCAGACAAATGATTCTGAGGCTCGTCAGCTGTCATTGGCGACTCCACGAATGATTCCCTTTCCTGTGCTGCCATACGCTACATCCCCCCAACTGAGTTGTTGAAAACCTCAAGTTGATATGAGCCGTTGCCACCCTGGCATGTTGAGATTGCGTTCTTTGCGTGCATGCTGAACTACTGTGCTCCTTTGGTATGAACGCGCCCAGCAAGGCTTTCCAGGACACAGCCAGAACCTGTTTGACGCCTCTTTTACCATCCTAAAAGCACATCTTCCTCCATGGCTATGCATTCCTATCCCATTGCTATCCTATCCCATTAGATAGACCTCGTTTGAGCTTTCATCGTTGCAACCCGTCGTTTGAGCTTTCATCATTGCACCCATGAATTCAATAGTTGTGACATTTATTTTGGGAATGATGTTAATTAGTGAACTTGTAGTTTCGGGTGTGGTGGTCCCCTTGCTCCCTGGTACAGTGGCGGGCACCAGTTTTAGCGACCCCTGTTTAGCGACTCCTGTTTAGCGAACTGTTTAGGTCTAGCGACCCCCTGGACGGCTTGTCACCTTTCCCGTAGTACTTTATTTCACTTCGATAGGGTACCCCCCATACTGGCAGCCAGGGTGCCCCCTACACCGGCGGCCACGGTACCCCCTTCACCGGCGGCCAAGGTGCCCCCTACACCGGCAGAAGAGGTACACCTTATACTGGCCATCGAGATACCCCTTACACCGGTGTGCAGGGATCCCCCCTTTCCGACAGCTTCCTGGTCGTGTTGCGGCCGGCATCGCTGCCTGGGGCACCTTGCGGGACTTAAACTACTGCTGAACTAAGTTAAGTACAGCTGAAGCACTTAAAGTACTGGGAAACCGTAGCGACCCATCCAGATTTAGCCGGCTTGTCACGGGGGTTCGCTAACCCGGCTGCCGTGTACTCCCCAGTGTACTTGCCCACACAGCCCCCCAGCGCCTCTGCCTTCTTCCTGCGTGCCTTCATCACAGTGTCCTCCACCAGCTTGTTCGCCTAGAGGGCCCATCATCCCGGGCACAACCTGTGTGACGCTGTTGCCTGACCGCCAGAGGACCAAAGCTCGTCAGGCAAGCGCCCGGCCTTCCCGCCAGCGACAGAGCTACTCCCGGTTTGCACGGGGCGCCGGGCCCTCGCGTCAAGAGGGGCTGCGGGCTGGCTGATTGGGCAACGCTGCGGCCCAAGATCCCTCACACCTGTCCGCCTTTCTTTGCCATTGCCTCCTCATGCTCGCCGGGCGCCCCTGGCCTGTCTGATCGCGCGCTCCCAAGGGGACGACCATGTTAAGGATCTTGGCGACTGAGCACGTAGCGCACGGCACTCATGCACCGATCCCGGCCATCAAACGAGGCGATCAGCCGCAGGGGGAGGGATAGGCTGGGCTGCAGATTGGGGAGCCGTTCTCCAGTGGCGTCGGTGTCGCGATGCCTGATGCTGGCCCTTCCGTTGTGGCTCCTGCTGGTCGTCCTGCGCTCGAGCCCGGACGGCACGGCGGCGGGGGGCGGGGTCCGGCTCCAGGGCGCCAACGTGGTGAGCCCTCGCGACCTGAGGGAGGGGCTCAAGGCGGGTGCCGCCTCAGGGTCGGGCGGCGACGCGGCGTGGCGCAGCGCCCTCCGATCGGCGTTCTCGCCCGACATCCTGGCGGGCAACGTCACCGAGATCCTGTGGCGCGAGTTCCTGACCGTGAAGATGACGCACGTGCTCTCTGAGGTCCGCAAGGCCGGCCACACCCAGCACTGCAAGTACGACCCCGATTTGTCCATGATCCCGCCGTCCTCCTCGCGGATTTTCATCGCCTCCAACCTGCATAACAGCGAGGACGTGATGCCCAACTTCATTGTTCAGCTCGTCCAGTTCCTGCTGGCCTTCCCGGAGCGCCTGTTCTTCGTGTCCATCTACGAGAGCGGCAGCACCGACAGTACGGCCGAGTGGCTGGAGCTGCTGGAGGATGTGCTGAATGAGCTGCGGGTGCACAACAGGATAGTTATGAATGGGGCGGAGGTGCGGCAGCAGGGCCAGGAGCGCCTGGACTTCCTGTCAAGGGTCAGGAACCGTGCACTGGAGCCGCTGTGGTCGCCACCCGTGGGGCGTTGGGACAAAATCGTGTTCATAAATGATGTCTTCTTCTGTGCCCAAGACATTATTCGGCTGCTGCAGCACGATGCGGACATTGTTTGTGGGATGGACTTCATCAAAGGAGACCTGGCTGCCGTTCCAAAGCACATCCTGCAGCGCCTGATGGTTAGTGACCTCACCAAGAGGTTTTACTTCTCAGAGGAGTATGCAAAGTCCATCATCGGGAAGGCATGGGTTCTCAAGCAGTGGCGAAAATCTCTTGCCAGGAGGGATGCAGTGAGCGCTGAGCTGCCCTGGATTTTCTATGACATTTGGGTGGCACACGATCTTGGGGGCTCACAGTTTGTCAACCATCCACCGTACATTGTCAATGACACGTATGCGGCAAGCAGGGTCAAACAAGGGCTTCCGTTCAACCATCCACCGTACATTGTCAATGACACGTATGCGGCAAGCAGGGTCAAACAAGGGCTTCCGTTCCCAGCTCAGTGCTGCTGGAATGGGATGGTGGTGCTGAATGCGGAGCCCTTTCAAAGGGGTCTTAGGTTCAGAACGCATGAGCCAGAAGAATGTGCAACGTCTGAGTGTATATTGATGTGTCAGGATTTCCAGAGGCTTGGGTATAAGAGGGTGCTGGTGGACCCAGGGGTGAGGCAGGCATACGACTACACTGGAGCGCTCAATGTGTACACGGACCTGGTGCAAGACATCCCGGTCTTGTCGTGGGCCGAGGTGTTGAAATCTGAGCCGGTGCAAATGAGGGCAATCGAAGCCGATGATAGAGTGGAATGTTGCCCGCTAATGGAAGGCGAAGAGCTCGTTGATTGGAGGGACTGCTATTGGTATGACATTTGGAAACCTAACTACACAGACAGCGCAATTCAAAACCCTGATGCCTGGTTGCTGCCTTACATACCCAAAAACCAGACAGCACCGCAAAAGCAGGAGGTGCAGCAGTCCGGTAATGCCTTGTCCTGAACAAGAGAAGAATCAAGGATTTGCAAACGAAAGGATGGATTTGGTACAGGAGCAGAACAACCCAGTGGTGAAGGAATTTTGTGGTGTTCAATCAAGCTGGGCGGTAGAATGGGCAGTGAGCAGGCGGCTGGGCGCAGTAGTGATCGCCATTGGGCAGGATACCATGACTATGGATTGAATGCATGTGACAGGGACGTTACTCTGGGAGTGTGACGAGTCAGCGGAGGCAGTAGTGCCTGTAGAGGGCAGAATTCTTTTAGAGTGTAATTCTGTGGTGTGTACCCAGAAAATGCCAGCGGCATGGGGCCACATCAATGTCTTGGGTTTCCAACAGTCGATTTGCGCTTAGAAGACATGTGGTGACGTCTTCAATCTTGGACAGGCGTAACATGATTCAATATAGACATTGCCTGGCGAAGTCACCGGAACCGAGCTGCTGGGAGACTGAGGCAGCGGCGATCATTTGCCTTCACCAAGTGGTTTTGATGAAGCTATCAAAATGTGGTGTGCCAGTTCTGCTTACTGCGTGTTCTCCTTTACACGCAGCAGTTCACTGACTGGTTTGGCCCTGGGGGCATGCGGTCATAGAATCGCCAACTAGCATCTGTGTTAGCTAGTATTTCTCCGCGTCAGTCGTCCCCTCCATGGCGTGCAACGATGTTAGCATGGTCCACGAAAGAGTTCATGGTGCTTGGTTAATGCCAGCCGTGCTTTAAGGGGCGAAACGGCAGCCTTCACATACACCCAGGCTAATAGAGGGCTTCAAGTTGTACCAGACGAGCTGATTGTGCATACTGAGCAGTAAGCGACTACACTTCATCGAATTTGGTAAGCTCAACTTCAAATTGACGCTGGGGATTGGGATTGAGATGGTGGAACTGATCGTAGTATTCAAAAAGATGACGTTTGCCAAAACGTCAAAGTCTGGCCAGTGTGCTTGGTCCCTAGTATCTGCTTGCGGCGAAACAATATGCTGTGCGCACACCAGCATGCATCTCGCATACGTTGCCCAAATGAGGAAGGCGACAAAAACGACAATGGGACTTCTGTGCGCTGCAGGCGGACAAACACGTGCTTCTCCGTAAAAATACTGGCATCCGCTAAGCACCGAAAAGAAGGCTTCTCTGCTTGTGACAACGTGACAAAATATGCTACACTGGCACACAGGGTGGGAACTCCTCGGCAGTCAAGGTTCGTTACTCGTGCTGGCGCAGTGTTGCAGAGTTCCCCAACCCCGATGCTATATGCATACACGCCACACTGCTGCCATCAGCACGGCTGGCTTACGTGCTTGCTGCTGTGCTACAGGGCACCATAGCAAATCACAAGCCCTGCCACTGGAATCGCTTCACACTCCAGATACCAGCTATCCAAGTGCTGGGTAGTGTGGTCGG